GCTTCCTCTGAAGCTTTACTCACCACTTCTTTAAACTGATCTCCAACATTATATTATTTATGAATAAAGGTCACCCCGTGAGGAAATGGCACATCTACTAGAAAACAATGTGCACTTTCTAAATTTGAACCAAGTCGTTTCCGTTCTTTGATTTAAGTTTAGTTACTTCCTGTGGTTTCTTGTCCTACGCCACTGCTGAATCTTTGGATCGACTCCAGGATAAATTGTACTCTTTCAATGAAATTAGAAACTGCGGCAATAGACGGCTTAGCTAGTTTAGCTAGTAAACAGCACTTAAACTAAATATTAGTCCACTTAGTGTTTTGAAGACGAGCGCCTAATTACCTGCGCGAGGTGACATATCAGGTCTGACCCATGTGTGTGCTCTCCCCGTGAGCTGTACCCGTCCGCTCTCACGCTGGTTTGCAACCAGACAAGCTGCTGAGCAAGAACTTCCACCTCCCGCAGGAGGGCTGAAAGCAGCCTTTGAAACCAGCAGCTCCCGATGGAGACGGGACACTTCCTCGCCGAAGCCAAGCCACCCTCCCACAGGCAGATTCTAGGTTAGCAAGGACAAGTGCTCAGCCCCACGCTCCGAAGCATCTTTGTACCAGGCCAACGCTCCTGCTAGCCACAATTTTGCATCAGGTTTTTTACGGATCGGGGTCAACTGGGGAAAACCCCCAAACCTTAGATAAGTCATTTCAGGCAGTTTGCTGACAAAAGTACATGTGAATATACACCAGTAACCTTACAGATGTGCTTTCCCTCAGTAAAAATGATGAACGGGCACTTCAGGAGCCTGCAGTAATTGTAGCCCTCCCAGAACCAGAGGAGCTATGTATGGCCAAGGTTAGGGAGAGGAACACAGCAGCAAAGGTAGAGTGATGGACTTCATACCTGGGCAAGTGCTCTGACTCCCTTGGACACAAGTTTGCGTTATAAGACCTTCTGCATAATAACCAGCCTCAGTAAAGAGCCCTGTTCGGGCTGGGGTTGCAGGGTAACTCAATAACGATGCGCTCTTTCTCTCCCCCGCCCCTTTTCTTTCTCCTTTCCTTCCCCCAGGATACTTAAGAACAGATTTTTCACCAGTAATCAGACTGCTTTATCAATGGAGCCCCGGATTCCCCACAACATCACCGTTGTCCCCAACTCTGTGATGGTCCAGCCCTTGCTGGACAGTCGGATCCCCTATGGGCGGCTGCAGCATCCGCTCACCATCCTGCCGATTGACCAAATGAAGACGACTCACATAGAGAACGATTACACCGACAATCCCACCGCTTCCCAGCTGGCAGCCCAGAAGCGTCCCCGAGGCCCCCATGAACTGGTCTTGACCAACCAGCACCTGCAGCGCTGTGAGCAGGATGTGACCCACCCCTGGATTTCCTTCAGTGGGCGCCCCAGCTCCATCAGCAGCAGCAGCAGCACATCTTCAGACCAAAGGCTCTTGGACCACATGGCCCCGGCGCCCGTGGCGGAGCAGTCCTCCCCCAGAGCGGTTCGCATTCAGCCCAAGGTGATTAACTGCAAACCCCTGGACCTGAAGGGACCTGTGTCTCAGGAACTGGACAAGCACTTTCTACTGTGTGAAGCCTGTGGGAAATGCAAGTGTAAGGAGTGCGCGCTGCCCCGGACTCTGCCTTCGTGCTGGGTGTGCAACCAAGAGTGCCTCTGCTCGGCACAGAACCTGGTCAACTACTCCACCTGCATGTGTCTCGTCAAGGGCATCTTCTACCACTGCACCAACGAGGATGACGAGGGCACGTGTGCTGACCACCCCTGCTCCTGCTCCCACTCAAACTGCTGTGCCCGCTGGTCCTTCATGAGCGCCCTCTCCCTGGTGCTCCCTTGCTTGCTCTGCTACCTGCCAGCCACCGGCTGCGTCAAGCTGTCCCAGAGATGCTACGACCAAGTGAGCCGGCCCGGATGCAGATGCAAAAACACAAACAGTGTCATTTGCAAGGCATTGCCGGAGAGCAAAGGAAGCAGGCCAGAAAAGCCCTTTTGATAGTTCGGGAGGGCGGGGAGTGGGAGGACGCTCCACGGAAGGGGGTGGCGTTGAATCTTTTTAATAACCTGTGTTCTGAGGATAACGTTAGCCTTTTGCCTTCGGAGAAAGCAGAAGCAACTATTTCCACAAACTGAAGCACTTTGGGTTATTCAGGGTTTTGGAACTGATCAGAATTTAAATAGATGGGGCCAAAGGAGGAATCTTAATAATGCAGAGTGAAGGCTGAAAACCTATGTATATCATGAAGTACAGCTGCTTAAATACTCCTGGTTCGGACAGACGGACGGCTGCTCACCATGCCTGCATACCACAAGAACCATTAACTGCTCGCTTGGCAGGCACGGCCGCACAAGCAATACCCATTCCCAGCTGCAGAAAGCTGCATTGCATTCGTCGTATTCAGGGTGGGCGGCTTCTTTTCGCTTTCCTTCCAAACTCTGATTTGCTACCAGCAGCCTGTTGAAGGCGGCGGGTTAACTGCCTCCTTCCCCACCTGCACACCGCTTAGAAGGGCCAGTCGCACACAAAGTACGTGTTTCTCAAAAGCTTTCTGTGTCTCTCAAAGATTTTGAGCCAGAAGTAAAGATACAGTTCATTTGTTTAAGGGTCTCTTAACATTTAGTTCTTTGAACCCACCTGGCCACATTGATTTGGACCCTCTTTTTAAAAGCAAGATGGTAGCAGGGTTGCTCCCTGCCCAGGAAGAATAGCGGCAGGATGTGTTCAGGCAGTTGTATAAACATCGTGTTGTTCTGCCTGTAAGCTGATCTGTAGCATCAGGTTTCGTCCAGTGGAATATTAATTTTACATCAACAGTACAAACCCGCTCCAGAAGGATGTTAGCCGAATCCCGTTTCCCCAGCGCGCATGCTTGCTCCCCCAGTGCTGGAGCAAAGGGGATCTTAACTTACGCCACAAAGTTAAGACGTTCGGTGTTTGTTTCTCTAAACCTCTAAGGCTCTGTTAAGAAGTCACAAAAACCTAAGTGGAGGATACACATAGGTGTATTTTATAGGGATATCGATCCAGTATCTCCTCTCCTGGAACAAGCTCTTCTTTGCTCGGTAAATATTAAGATTTTTAATTTTTTTTTGTCTTGGGGATGAATGGCCTTTGCTTGAAGTACAGCCCATTCCCCCATCTCTATTGCTGCTGGTCGACTTTTGCCTCCTCTGTACAAAAGTGTGTCTTTTTAAATGTAGAGAATGCTTTTAATGTTTATTTTAGTGTTAACAAATATTAGGGAAAGCCAGGGGAGGGAAGAGAGCGTATTTAAGAAATTTGCCCATGGTTTTCAGTAAGTGAATATCATCGGCTTTGGCCGTGCACTCATCCTAGGGCCGGTTCTGCGTTCCCTTAAGATGCAGTAACCCCTTCCTCTTGACAACTACAAGGTGCTAAATAAAAATCTTTGTCCAAACATGCAACACTGTAATAAGTAGGTAGGTACTTGTTGCATGCAGAAAACTGATCTAGGCTCTTTTTTTTTTTTCTTTTTTTTTAATTAGAGGAAATTTCCTCAGTAAATGCACAGCAGTGACAGTGAAATGTCATCTCTAATTAGATAAGCAATAGGCAGAGCTCATGTAGCATTTCCAGGAATCCCATTTGCTTGGTTGCAATACAGTTGCTGCGTAGGGGTTGGCAGGAGCATACTGATGGGAGTTCTGGTGTGTTTTGTTTTAAGAATTCATTTAACCTGGATGACTTGGGGTTTAGTTAAGCTTAATTGTAGATATTTATTCAATGGGGAATTTAAAAAAACCCACAACTTTCTATATTTATAACATTTGCTAGGTTGCATATGATAAATCATAGGAAAAGGGATACTACGTCTGTCACCAGATACCAATTCCTATAGTTTATCCTCGTGCTGACCGTATGGGGACACCAGAAAGAAGGAAGCAGGTGGGATCCAGAGCTGTATATATTATCTTGCACAAATGAGAGGGGAAAGGGTAAAAGGAAAACCAACCCCAAACTAGCTGAACTGTTGGTTGAATGTATAAGGTATTGTATTTAATAAGAGAAATCTTTTTCCTAAGAAACAAACAGGCTAGAAAATGCAGCAGGAGAGGTATTTACCTGCTGCCCTCCTCTACTGGGACCATACGTATCCAAATGGCCTCCACCTATGGTTGTTTTGCCTTTTTGACCCTCCGTCTTTGGCTGTTCCTGGGGGATCTGTGCTGAAAATCTGCAATAGCAAAGCCCGTGGTTTAGATGCATGGTCCTTGCAAGAAAATACAACGCTGGAGTGGTCGCCACTGTGCCAATCTACACTCATGTATATACACCCAGCAATCCCGTATGGATTTCCTTTCATTGTACATAGTTGTAAACTATTTCTCTGTTGGTTTCTTTTAATATATAAATCCTGCGATGGTGTAAGCCGGTCCCATGCTGGAAGACTGTAAAGTGTTAGTGGATGTGTTAGAGCAGTGGTAAATGTAGCAGAGCGACCCTCCCTCTTTCTCCTCGGCCTCCCGGCGCAGCGGTCGGACTCTGTCCCATCAGCTCCGGGCCCAAGGCACGGCAAGAAAGTCGCTGAGCTCTTTGCGTAGCGCTCGGAAAGGTTTGGGGTCAGCCGAAGCGGGGGCTCTGCCCGCGGCGCTGCGCCGCGGGGCCGGCGGAGGGTACGTCTCCAGCCAGTAATGTCTTTACTCCCTTCTCTTCCCCCATCCCAACGCCTCCATTCCCCCATCCCCTTTTAAGGTACTTGGGTCTCCTGCCACCCCTCAGACGTATCGTGGGCACGGGCACGGTGCCGCGTAACCTCAGCCCCGGCGAGGGCATGGAGGCAGCAGCACTGGCCATCCTCCCTGCAGGTCGTGTCCCCCCTTGCAAACTGACGAACGGCTGCTAATTAGCACAAACCTCGGGCGTGACATGTGCTCTCCGGCCGTGTCGGCGCGGTGGGGTGGGACCACGAAGGCAAGAGGGGAGGTGAGGGCAGGTTCCCCGGGGACCAGCGCTGTGCCACCGCAGAGCAGCTCCGGAGGAGGAGGAGGATGGCAGGGCGCTTAAGCTTTACCACCCTGAAATGCTAATTGCTGTAGCAGGTTCATTGCCGGGTTTTGTCCTCTGCCCACACACAGAAGCAAAGGCCCAGAGAGCAAGAAGGAGTGAATTTACAGCGCGCTGGCAGTGCCATGCCGTGTCCCCAGCTGGAGCTCACCGTCAGCAGAGTGGCTTCAACAGCCGAATAAACCCTCACCGCACCCTCTGTCCCAGCGCCCACCGGGTACGAGGAGTAGCTACTAAATTCACGCGATTGCTCCCTGGGCAGCGGCTTTCTCACCCGGATGAGTCCTCACCCTTTCGCAGCACTGGGTATTCCTCCTTCCCTCCCACGCTCAGACACGCTGATAAAGGTTTCCCCCTTCTCCTGTTACCACCCCACCATGTATACACCCTGAAAAGTTACCACAGAAGGTTTTCTTTGTATAGAATATTTATTTTGAAGCTCTATTTTAATAGTATTTATTTTAGAAAGTCTACTATTGTAAGAGTTCTTCTGTTTGTGAAGAAAAACAAGTACTGATGAATGTACTGATCTAGAAATTATATATATATATAAATATATATTGTTAAATATATAAATGGCTGGTGTGGGTTTTTAAAAAAAAAAAACACAAAAAAAGGTTTTTTTGGGGACAGGGGACACCGGCACATGGGCGCAGTCACCCCTCACCTGAACACAGACCCCAATACGCACCATTGATGGTTGTGATATGAACTGAGCGGATGGCCCCTTCCAC